CAGATTAGCCCTTTGTTTGATAGTCAAGAAAAAATTCAAATTATAAATAAAGATGTCTGACAGATACCTTCTTCGATATTAGAGTCGGGTTGCTCAATTATAACATTCATTTGGATATGTTAGCGGCAATAAGTGAAATTAGGCATTAAGCTTAAATCCTAGGCAATAAGCTAACGCCTAGGCAACAAGTCTATTGCCTAAATAGTGTTAGGCATTAATCTTAAGTCCTAGGATTTCAGCTTAAATCCTGAAAAATGTGTCCAGGCATTAATCTTAATGCCTAAAATGTTAATGCGAGTAAATAAAAAAAACATTTGTTCAAAATTAAAACACATTTGGTACATAATAACATGATAAGAACTGAAGTTTAAAATGTCAACTCCTTGAAATAAAGTCACCAGTTCTGACCACTTTATTTTTAAACTCGGATATAACCAAAGCTGTAAATTCACGACCATTGTGATAATGCAGTTTATGGGACGCACTTAAAAAATAAAAACATTAAAAATATGAAACCCTTAATTAAAACAAAAGTCACCTCTATTTAAGCACATTTTGACGTACAAAATCTAATGTTAAAAACTTTTGTAAGTTGATTTTGGTATGCTATAAGACATTTATAGTTTCCATTTTGTTTCAATTGGAAATCCATTAAATCAATGTCCTCTACTGTTGAACTCTTCGGATAAAATGGCTTTCCATTCTACTCCCTTTCCTAAATACCTTTTCTTCATGTTACAATTTTCCCAAAGTGAAAAACATTGTTTGATGTTGATAGCCATGGAATCAGAAGAAATATTTATATTGACATTGTTGTATTCTTGTCTTTCATTTCTGCTTATGTACTTTGTCTATAAAGTGTCTATATGCCATTTCGTCTTTCTTTGTTGAAATTGTTATTATTTTTTATAGTGAATTAGATTATAACATAATGTTGACTGCTGTACCCCAATTTTTGATCTTTTACCTAAAATGTCTGTTTGTTTTGGTAAAACATTGTTGTCATACGAGTGAAAGGATTAGCTAGCTGTAAAACAAGATTTTCTACAGAAGGAATATGACAGTTGTTTTCCATTCGTTTGATGTGTTTGAGCTTTGATTTTGCCATTTGATAAAGGACTTTCCGTTTTGAATTTTCCTTGTAGTTCGGTATTTGTTGTTATTTGACTTTGTATATAGTCACTACTAGGTTGTTTGAATCATACGGTCTCTGTCGCCATGACCTGTTTATATAAAAAAGGAGATGTGGTATGATTGCCAGTGAGACAACTATCCATAAAAATTCAAATGAAGTTGGTGTAAGCAATTATAGCCAACATTACGACTTTCAACAACGAGAAAAACCCATACCATATAGTCGACTATGAAATAAACGCCCAAACAAGAAAAATATTAAATGTTCCTTTTTCCAAAGTACCACGATAAAGAAAAAAAATAATTTTGAATTTTTTTCTCATCATTCTCCTTTACTCTTTTTATCAATCTTTCAAAGTCCCCTAAGGTGAAAAAATGTCATACGTTTTTTTCTAATTGCAGTAGTCTATAGTTGCCATCTTTTCTGGGGATTCTAAAAGTTAAAAGTTAAAAAATTATCATTGTAAAATCTGTTAAATTAGACCAAGTGTATATCAATATTTGGAATACAATTTAAAAAAATACTTTAAATTAAGAACATTTTATCGATTGTAATCTACTTGGAAGATTAAAAAAAAATCTCAAAATTCACTTATTGCCTGAAATGATGGTTGGCAATAGGTTGAATAGTCATCATTATATTTCAGGAAATAAGCGTAATGCCTGAAAATTAGCTTATTGCCTAGGATTTAAGCGTAATGCCTAATTTTACTTATTGCCGCTAACAGATATATTCTAAACATTTTAAAGCGGTCGGTTGTATTCATTGCGGGAACCAGGTGGTTGAGCGATAATGATTGCTTTACAGGATAAAGTAGATGCGCCGAGCGGACGAGGTCTATCACCTACCAACACAACCTGAAATTTAAGCCCAACAAAATCATATGTTTACACCTAGATAATACCAAACAACAAGTCCATAACAGCGACTTGATATTTTATCCTCAAAGTGGTTTGTCCTGAAAATGCTAAAAAATTTATTAGGTCTTTCCACTTTTCTGTGGAAAGACCTATTGTATTTTTCTGATTATTATTTTTTTCTTCTGCCAAATTTTGTTATCGCGTAAAATTTTTGTTTCGCAATATGTCGCTAAGATATTTCTTATATAGTATCATACAGTTTATGCGCTTTTTATTTTCACCCATTTTAAGCCGAACAATTTTCTTTGTAAGAGTTATCTCCCTATTCACTGTTTATCAAGTGTGTGCATCTCTTTCGTAACAAAAAAAGATATCGACAAAATTCTTTTTCTAAATTGTTCGTTACATCCTCAGAAATTTTTGGCTAATTTGGATTGAAGCGATTCGATGAAATTTTAAAGGAGTTATCTACCTTTACCAAATAAATTTGTCGGTATGTTTTTTTAACTCATAAACCGTTAACCGTATAACCCTGGAATCTTTTTATTTGAGGTCCCTGGGTCCTAACTTAGAAAATGAGGTCAAGATCAAAGGTCATGTTCAAGTTCTCAATTTTGACTTTTCCTTGTTTTTGCATTTTCTCAAACACTTTTAAAGATATATATGAAACAACAAGTGCAAAATGTTTGCTTTATTATAATGAAGATATGTTACATTTGGTCTGAAACAATCGAATGGCATCTTATAGGAGTAAGTGCCCCTGAAATGTCCAATTATAAGGTTTATTGATTATTACTTCAACTTGGTTCATTATAAAGCCATATGAGATTTAACAAAAGGTTGGATGACATATGACCTTGAAAAATGACAACCGGAAGTGACCTTGAGAAAATCGGAAGTAGCCATTCGTGCACTTTCTTCATAGAAAAGTACTCGGAATCCATGTATTTTGTAATTTTAATACATTAACTTATCACTGAAGACTAGAAATGACTTTCGATAAGCCGGAAGTGGCCAATTATCTCCTGGTTTACCAGCAAAAATATATAGAAACTATATATTTTTGGGATCAGTGTGAAAGAAACTATCATATGAGACCGGAAGAGACATTTACTTCACCGAAATTAGCTAATTATCTCCCTTATTTCACTCAGAAGTATATAAAAACCACTTATTTATCGCATCAGTATGAAGAAACTGATGATAAGATGCCAATTTTAACTTGAGTAAACACGAACTAGCTTCTTTTCAATAAATTTAAAAATTGCTGTGGAAAGACCTTCAATTGTTCTCTGAACAATTGGTTTTTAATTTTATTGAATATTCTTTTGTCACAGTATACTTTTTGTTTGTCCACTGACCGAGATTAAATGAGGGAGGGTTGTGTTTTAGAAAAGAATGTTAAACCCCGCCACATCTTTAAAGGCCAGCCCTTAATAGTTAAGATCCTCGTCAGTGGCTGTCATGAATTTTTGTTTGAAGAATTTTTGGTTAATGGTATTGTTCCTTAACAATCTCTGTCGAATTTTATTCATGATTTATTAGATTCGGGTCATTTAGGAAATTTATATACTGTATAGATAGGCGTTATATCTGTTGCTTTTGCTGGTGATTATGTGTTTCGTTACTATTTTTCTTCTAGTTTTATGTTTTTTAAAGGGGGGGTCTTAGGTTAATATTTAATTGACGTATACTTGTTGATTTCACCTATTACCTCTATTAGACAAAAACTCAACAAAGATACCAGGCAAATAATCTGTTACGCCAGACGAGCGTTTCTTCTTAACTTGCTCGAGGAACTCAATACAAAACAGTTGAAAGGCCAAATCAAGGGTGATGTTATGCTTTGGGTTAGCTGTCAGTAACTGCGAGTACTCTCAGATCTGTACTTGGTATCTTTTTGTTGTGGGGATGTATATGTACTCTGTCACATCCGGTCTGTGTTTTTTGTCACTTGCTTTTCTGCTTTGTATATATCTGAGTTAAGTCCTTTTCAACTGAATTTTATAGTTTGTTCATACGTTGTGCTGTTATACTACTGTCCCAGGTTAGGGGGAGGCGTCAGGAAACATGTTTAAACCCGCAACATTTTGTTTGTACCTGTCCCAAATCAGGAGCCTGTAATTCAGTGGTTGTCGCTTGTTGCTGTTCATCATATTTGTTTTTCATTCATTGTTTTGTACATAAATCAGCCCGTTAGTGTTCTCGTTTGAATTGTTTTACATTTGTCATTTCGGGGCCCTTTATAGTTGAATATGTGGTATGGGTTTGGTTCTTTGTTGATGGCCGTACGATGGCCAATATGTCATTTGGTATCTGGTGGAGGGTTGTCTCATTGGCAATCATACCACATCTTATTATTCTTATATGCATGAAAAGTATTACTCGGCAATTGGCAATATATTGCTAACATATCTAGCTTAATACTAGAAGTCCCAACCTCAAGTTCTACTTCCACAGTTGCCTTCCATCAAATAAATAAAATTGCCGATAGAGCTTGTGTTACTTGTCCTTAAATCAGTTAATATTACCAAAGATATTTATAAAATTGTGTGGAACGACGTATTTTAATGTTTCAATCTGACAATGTTAATTACGGACAAGTCATAATTAACATCGCTGTTTTTTTTAAGGTGTGTGTTTATTTATTACGTGAAATGGAATTGAATGATTTTTTATTGTTTCTCTTATGAATAAATACAGCTATATACTAGGTCAGGAATTCATAAAAAAAATGTTTCTGATTTGATTTTTAACGGCATATCATTATGTGTAACGTTATTGTGCCCAAATTAAACCTATTTTGGCAGTTAAATATTAATCCTACGTCACCTTGCTGAATGTGCACAATATTTTGTTTCCATATAATGTACTCTCATGCCTCTCGGGCCGGGGTAAGACACACATTAATTATTTTAATATCCAAATAAATATATGCTTTGATTTAGGTTTCCTCTTCTCATTGCGGAAGCACCTACGACTATTCATAATATCACGACCACGAATCTCGTTTTCGTCAACTTGTCTGCCTTTGAGGTATATATAAATATTCCAAAACCCAAAGCACAATATAAATAAAGTAATCAAAAATCGATATATTTCGTTTTTATTGGACTCATTTTTGCATAAGAGTTTTAAGCGTTTGTGATTTTGATATGTACATTGCTCTTATATATATTTTTTCTTAGTTTTATATATACCCAAAGCTCCGCGTTGAACACAATGGCTTAGTCACATTTTTCAGTACTATTTGTTTTACTGAAATATTATTTTTCATGTAAAAAAATGATGGAAAATGGATGTTTAACCACATTTGAGATTGTGCATGGACAAATTATAGCTAAATATACTGATCATCAATAACAGCAGCTTCTACTAGTATATTATAATATCGGAATACCTCATGATACGCCAATATAATAACTTTTTTAATATAATAAATTTATGTCACGAGTATCACATTACAATCTTTTGATTTGAGACATGATAGAAATTATACTATTACTGTAATCGAAGACATTATACAGATTAAATCATAACTGTAATCAGAACTAAGACAACTGACAAAATTGTATATCCTCTGAATCGTACAGCAGAACTGGTATCACAAATTTTGCCAAAGTCACATTGTGCTAGCTCTTTGTAGTAAACCTTCACGTCAGAATATGAACATACCATTCCACCACAAGCAGGTACATTTACTGGTTCTTCATTTACAAATATTTTAAATGCATGTTTTCCATTTGCTCCACATTTGTATAAACTAAATGCAACATTTGCAGAAAACGGAGTTATTTCACTCGTACTGAATTTTCGATTAATATTAGCATCATAACTTGCTGCTGTGAATGGTTCAGAATCTTTGAACAATCCAAAAGCAGTGAAGATGGGTAAAATTGTATCTTGATGCCCAAAGAAAATGTCAACTGGTTGGATGCTGAAATTTAAGGTAACATATCATAAATACTATAAAGTAAAACATTGCAAACAAGTTTTAGATTATTTTTTTATAAACAAATCTTTGTTTTTATACGTAAGAATAGACAAACAGTTACTAACATTTGTGACAACATTTACTTGTTAACCATAATGCTGTCGTCTATAATGCTAGATTATATTATTACAACTTTCGGAACTTGTACAGTGGAAAAATGAGGCGCGTAGCAGCAGTGTCATCATTTCCCTAAATCTTCGCGAAAGCCATTTCTGACGTTTTTGGGAAGTTTTAAGAAAAATATCCAAAGTGGTCTTTTCTTTTTTATGTATAAAATTTATCTATTTGCCTGCCGATTTAAAAAAAATAACAATTTCTCTAAATATTTAAAATTTTTCCCATAGAAAATATTCAAATGGGTTCACGATTTCACGTTAAAATATATACTTCATTTAAAGACTTTCTCACCATGAAAACATAGTGGCCATTTATAAACGACGTTTATATTTTCTCTGTTGATTGTTTCAAAGTGTGTTGTATGTACTTGCCTGTTTGGTTTTTCAGAGTTCGTGACAGCTTCTTCGAATCGTTCAAAAAGATAAGACGTATAAGGGCAAGTCTGTTTCCAATTGATGGGGTAGCCATATCCCGTTTTATAGTATTCCTGAAAGATTAAGACACATAAAAGTCCAATTTTATGTGTGAAATATGCTACTAATCTGAAATTTACAGGTTTATATTATTATATATCATGTGTGAAATAGCTGACAAATAATTCAGGAGCAAGTCTGATATTAAGGGGTACAATTGGTGCCCATAGGAATACCTACATTTTTGTTGATAAACTTTATATTGCCGATAAGTACGTTGATGTTGATGGAGGGGTGAGGGATTTCAAGTAAGTGTATCCATTATATTTACCGTTTTCGTTACAAAAAAAGGCTTTACACGAGTAACAGCAAATAAATTTGCAATCAGATTTTGATTAGGGTCATTTGATGAATAAGAAAACTTCAGTTTGATAAGCTTGTGTGAAAGTGTAGTGTAGAAACTCGAAAAGTCAAACTGTCGATCGACTCGAAAAGACCATCAAAAGCACGTAATTTATTTAGAACCTTCTAGGCGTTTTTTTACACTTAAAGGTAATCAATTCCATCATTTTCATATGCTTTTTTAAACAAAAAATATAATATTTTTTTCATTGTAGTCGGGGAACTAATTAAATGGACCGAAAGATTAGTTGTAGAACACTTACTAGAAACCGAAATAAAACGAAATATGGCGGTTTTTTGTGAAGTGTAAGTAACCAACACGTAGAAGTCAAATGTTCAGACGAGACCTTTGGCTGGGGTGCAGTAATTATATGATTGTCTACTATTTGACTTTCTGTACAGCGCAAGACTTTGTACACTTTATTTTGGGGTGTTTATCAAATGGTAAATGATTAGGAGTTATATGAACAAAAGAGTAAAGTTAAGTTATAGAAAAAATATTCCTAGTGCAGATTATTAATTGATATTGCTTGATATTTGAGCAAGTATACGCAGGTGATGTACGTTTTTTTCTAGGAAATCAATTAGCGTTTTGGGTGGTTTTATTTCTAATAGTGCTAAATCAATATAAGCCTTCTTTTCGGTTGTTGCTGGATTTACGATTGCACACCTTGTGGATTTAGATTAAGAAATAATACCTCTAAGTCATCCCAATAAGATATTACTCGCAGATCATCAATATTAAAAAATTGACACCAATCAGACTGTCCATTCAGACCAAGCTCAAAGGCACATATTTGGTGAATTACAAACACGTCATCTGAAACAATCAAAATTGTAGAAGATTCATTATAAAATTTAGTACTTTTTTATAATACAAATATTGATGATAAATGTGATATTGAATTTCTTTTCTTTGCTTAAGTGTCCTTTTATTTATATTCTTGAAATTTCAAGGCGGACAGTATTATTATATAGTTATAATTCCCTGGTCGATAGAGACTACTGGTATAAAGAACGTTACAATAGCCTCACAGATAGAAATCAATTACATACGAAGACAACCAGACAATTTTAAAGTCCAACTTGAGCATATTTTCAGTCTAGTTAATTACAAGCAGACCATACCAAACAACAATATATTTACAGCAATTTGTTGTCTTTTATCTTAAAAGCTGCTAGTCCTGTATATGCATAAAACATTTGCTACTAGAACTTTGACAAAAAGTAACCAATAAATTATAAATTTTGTATTCATGCACCATCTTTGATAGCTCAATGATTTAACAAGTCGTTTCAAAATGTAAACGATTATGGATGGACAATACCGTTGCCCCATCGGTTGATATCATTAGTTTATATTTATGATCTTATTAAAATTTACAACGCTAAATATCGATATGTATAAAAGAAGCTGTTGGGTATACGTCTATGAGACAGTTACCTTACGACACAAATAACCAAAAAGATATCCAGAGGGAGATCAAAAGTCTTCCACAGTAGACATGTGTCTATACAAGATTTAAGATTGTCCCAATTCTCTAAAACTTGTATATGAATAAAACAAAGGCTATAAAAATCACCTTTCGATACCAATTCATTAAAATAGAAATTTGCTTTAAAAAAAAACATTAAAGATATAATAAAGACAATCCCTCTATGCAAATGTCTTTTTTAAATACGCGTTAATTGATTCTTAATACGAAATTTTACAAAAAACATTCACTATTTGCTGTTAAAAACTGCTTGGTCTTTCATAGAAAGATATAGAACTTAATAATTTTTTGGTTTTATAGATACAATGTATGCAGGAAATTGTTGACGAGTTTTTTATGCAGATTGTTTGGACTTTTATATTTTCAAATTCCACTAGGTTTCATTGGCGGTCCGATTTTGACCTTGTTAGTAGAACACACACTTGGGAATGTGATCGTTCCTCGTTTTAGTATACTATATACCTGTGTGTGACAAGAATTGACAAGGGTGAATCGGACTGCGAATGTTTATTGAATTCATTATCCGCCGTTCAGACATTCCTTGCACCTTACTCTTTCATGGACCTATTCGAAGTCAACCCTCCGTGTGCCGACAAAATTTACAAAACTGATAAACTGCTAAATGTTTTACCGTCCTAAATTTTATTCAAATATTTGACATTGTACGTAAGAAAACAACTGCTAGTTACTTCTAGCAGTTTTCATGGAGATTGAATTCTGTACTATATATTTGCCAGCCATCAGCTTGTTATTAGGGCGTCAGTATTTGATTATATGTAATAAAAGAAAATAAATCAATCATGTTTTTCCTCGTGTATAGCATATTATTACAAGTTGTCCAGTTGTCAAACATTTGCAATATAATGTGTCGTCAATATATATGTACGTTAAACTTACAATGAAACAAGGAAATTGTCAGTATAACATGCTTGTAAATGGTGTTTACCATATTCGTCCACCTGAGATATCGTTACTTACCAAAATCTATCGATATATTGGAGGTTCCAAGTTTTGTCTGTATTTTCTGGACAATATTACTTATCTTCGAACCAGCTTCAAACGAATTAGCTTCTTTTAATATCTCGTCGTTATCATCAACTTCTTCCGTGTATTTTGAACATCTCTCATAAAATCTGGTTTTCGTATTATCTTCTTTTGCTTCGGGTGTGGTTCCACTGCTTGGAGATGTTTCGTTTAATCCTTCGTAAAAGTATTTAAAACTAGATTTTGTTCGATCTCTATAAGATGTTGCGAATTTTACTTGTTTGAGTTTTCCGTCTAATAATACTTTAAACCTGGTTCCGTATCGTTTGCCTAATCTCTTCATTTCATCAACTCCAAGGGAACTTAGAAGCCCCTCTTGGCTCTCCAGAAATGGATTGGTCCACTTATTCATAAACGGGTACTTAGAGAGAATAGCTGCATTAGCTTTAAGCTTAGAATGCAAAGCTGTTATTCGTTTGATCCATTTCAAGGTAGGAAATCGAGAACCGTGCCTAAGTAATATATTCAGGCCTTCCAGTTGACAATTTTCCCCGTTAAGAATTGTTGTACTGAATTCATTTTCTTGAATAACGTCTGATATATTCCTAACCCAAAAATAAGGAGTTTTCGTATTGAACAATGGTTTCTTAAACAGATTATCACTATACACAAAAACAAAGCAGAAAATGAATTTTAAAATAACAATTTGCAACAAACACGCCATCCTTCAGTAAATAAAAGCACTTCACTGACGCACAATATAATTATTTAACATTTGACATGTCTCAATTTAATTTTCTTTGCCGTATGTTATTGAGACTTTGCAATGTAATGCGTCACCACACATCTTGCCTCGAGCATCGTACAAGAAGTTGTAAAAATTACCTTGACCCTAATATATTATTTTGACATGAAGGTGGTTAGGCTACCTATGGTTTTTAATGCATCCTTCTTTTTTGTGACATCAGTGTATGCCTGTTGTAATAGAAATTTTCTGTTACGTACATCTGGGTTGATGTCGTTACAGATTATCAATTTACATCCGAAGATATCATCCGAAAATTAGCATATGCATGCATACAATTGATTAACCTTATTTTAATCATGATCATTTATTCCTTTGGAATTGCCTCCTGCTAGTCATTCAAAAACACAAAAAAATGAATTATTAACATAAAATTTATCAGCAACCTAACTCGGGTTTCAAAGTCATTGTGAAACTACCTATTCAAAAGGTGGCGTGAATTAGATATGGATACTAAAAAATTCCAAAAATCTTTCATCTTGGAATAGTATTAAAACACTTTTCTACACTTTACACAAGTATTCCCCATTCCAAACTGAAAGACAAATTGAAAGAGTTGGTCCCGCTTTGTTTCGTAAAAATGAATGGCCAACGTGGATACAAGTATCTTGTCGTAGGGAGGGATAAATCGTACTGTGTAAAAAATCACTCTGATTCAAGAAAAAATATTCTCTGAAACTGACATTATCAAGATGTTTGACTTTTTGATTGACAGCAATTACATTTGGAGGACATGTTTTTAAACAAACAATCGGCATTCCCATGGGAACCAACTCGTGTCGACTTGTTCCTTTATTCATATGATTCTGACTTCATACTGGAAGAAAGAAAAGAAGTTTGCAGTATCCTTTAACTTCACTTTCCGCTATATAGATGATGCTCTCTCACTATATGATTCAAAATTTGGTTTGAACGCATCTATCCAATCGAACTTGAGATAAAAGATACAACAAATACAGTTAAGTATGCCTCGTATCTTAAGGTACATCTAGAAATTGACAATGAGGGTCGGTTGGAAACAAAACTTTACGACAAAAGAGATGATATCAGCTTCCCAAATTGGCAATTGTGAACTTTCCATTTCTATGTACTAACATTCGATCGTAACTACATCCCGTCCCCTTTTCCCCGAATGTGACCTACCTAATTAGACTTATCATCGGGTTTGTACTTACACGAGCAACACGACGGTGCCACATGTGGAGCAGGATCTGCTTACCCTTCTGGAACACCTGAGATCACCCTCAGTTTTTTGTGGGGTTCGTGTTGCTCAGTCTTTACTTTTCTATGTTGTTTTTATGTACTGTTGTTTGTTGGTTTGTCTTTTTCTTTTTTAAGCCATTGCGTTGTCAGTTTATTTTCGACTTATGAGTTTGAATGTCCGTTTGGTGTCTTTCCCATCTCTTTTATCATAGAATTCTGAAATATAAATCAAGTTTATTTAATCGTAAAAATTGATCATTTATTTAGTTGGTCTATCGAGCTCGATTAAATGTAAAACAGTTGAACCTGGTCTTATCTTACGGAGCCTATGATTACCCCTACTATATATGTCAAACCGTTAAAACTGGACCCATCCTACTGAGCTTAAGTAGCCCTACTCTACGTGTCAAACAGTTCTAATATTACTTAGTCATGATAGTAGCCCTACTTTATGTGTCGAACAGTTAAAACTGGTACAATATTACTGAGCCTAAGTGCCCCTACTCTATTTGTCAAACAGTTAAAATTTAGTACAATCTTACTGAGTCTAAGTAGTTTTACTCTATATGTCAAACAGTTAGACCTGGTCCAATCTTACTGAACCATATTAGTCCCATTCTATATGTCTAAAAGTTAAAACTGGTTTAATCTTACTGAGCCATAGTAGCCCTACTCTGTATTAACCTCCCTTTTCTTCTTTAAACTTTATTCACATTGTGAGTATATAATGTAGAAAAAAGCACATGGTGATAATGCCCAACAAAAGAATTGTAAACCGATGCCATTAATGATATGGAATTTCTTTTCATAAAATATATATAACGCCAAATTCTAACTTCAAACCAACAAGAAATTTTTATATAAAGCAAAAACTCTTCGTTGTCTTTTTACAAACGCACGTGTACCTACATGAATGATATGTTCGAGTAATTTTTGCTAAGCAATTATACTTGTACATGTATATCAAAAAATATATTACCGTTTGTGTCTTCGACCTGACTTCAACGTTCCATGCGAAATATATATAGTCCAGAGGGCTAAAATGATTTTTATTTATAAAAAAAAAATCTCAAGACCAAAATTGATTGATAGTAGCTATTAAATGTTCAAACCGTAGTAATATTTTTCTCGTAAGGCTTTTTAATCAGCCAAAGAACTAATATTTGTTCCAAAAAAAAGTCAATATGTTTATGTATTTTTTTCTAATATAGCGGTATGATGATATTAAGAATTACCTTTTAAGCAAATTCCTAAATTTGTATGCAAAAAAACCCGAAAGAACTCATTTTATCTAATGGAAATGTCGAAATAGTGTTCATGTACAACCCCATTAAAAGGCCTCTGACAGATTTTTATTGCGTAAAATCATTGTTATCGATAGTCATTGACAAATACGATATATGTTATTGTTCGGTAAAATAAACAACTACTTGATACGCATATCTAAGCTGTTATGAATTTCATCCTATGCTATTTACTTTCCTATCCAAACGCTGGTTTGTGTGGATCATTTTGACATATTTGGTCAAAATTACAGTCTACCAGTTTACTGTAGTATTTCTTAAAATCACTGTATCCACACATTGTCTTCCCACAAGCCGGTATAATTACTGGATCTTCGTTGACAAACATTTGAATCACGTGATCACTGTTTCCGTCACATTTGTACAAAGCGACTGCTAAATTTGCCGAAAACGGTCCAATAACAGCACCGTGAAATGTTCGGTTTTTATTAGCATCAAAGTTATTTGCCATCAGTGGATCAGCATCGTGAAATAGACCAAATGCTGTATAAACTGGAACTATTGTCTCGCTATGGCCAAATGAGATATCCAACTGTGGAATTCTGGAATTAGCAGTATAAAGTCATACTAACAAAGTTGCATGTAAATAAAAAAAGAGGCTTCCAGGAGCCTGTATCGCTCATCAGGCATTTTTTGCCAAAATAAAAAATCGATGTAATGCAACAAAATTATTTGGTGAAAATTTTAGGAAGGTAGATCATGACATTCTGAGCATTTTTGTCCCTGTCAGATTTTCTCTTGTTATTATTGTTTAAAGATAAATGACAATTAATGCATTTTACCATTATGCTTCATTGCCAACATGGCGGCCAAGTTTGATGACTGAACAAAAATAATTTATACTACATACCCTCATGCACTCTAACTTTTGATGAAAATTGTTCAGTAGTTTCAGAGGGGAAGATCTTTGAAAAAGACTACGATGGACACGAAAATTAGTAAAAACCGTTATTCTAAGGACAATAACTCCTTACTGAGTCATCCGATGGTTTCGGGTCAATTGACATTTTTGGAGATCTTGTATTGCCGGCCATTCTGCTTTAACTGTATCTCCCTATTTAATATAATTTTTGAGATAAAGGCAAAAACATGAAAATTTGCCCAAAATCGTCATTTAAGGGCAATAACTCCTTGAGGAGTCATATAAAAATTTGGTAAAATGAGAAGTAAGTAGAACCTGACCTTGTGAGCATGTTTGACCCCACAGGTTTTCTCTTTCTAGTATGGTTTACAAGATGCAAGACAAGTAATGCATTTAACCCCTATGTTCTATTATTAGCGATGGCTGCCATTTTTTTTGACCGACGGGGGAAATCACAAACTTTATACTAGATACCATAAACATGAAATCCCCAAAGTTTGGTTGAAATTGTTTCACAAGTTTCAGAGGATAGGATATTCGAAAAAGTTTACGACGACGACGGACCCCAAGTGATGAAAATAGCTCACGTAGCCAAGTCACGAATCAGATGAGCTAAAAAGAAACAACTTGACAAAAATCTTAAACACCGACCTGTTTTACAAGTACAAAACATAAATGCTTTTTTTTTAAACGGCCATTTTACTTTACAAATATGTGTGGTCTATATAAATTTATGATATATTTATTGTAAATCCTGCATCGTTTTTGTGAACGATAGTATTACAATTATTGTGCACCCAACAGATCATTTTAATGTCCTCTAATTCGCGGTCCACTGTCTTGTTATTTCCAAATAATGAATTCCAATATCTATTATCCTGTTGTCAAGGTATAAGTTGTGCAATATGTTCATTTTTTGTCCGCATAATACAATGAAATGCACTTGGCTTTCAAATATTTGGAAACATACTTGGCTTTCAGCATTCATGATGAAGATAAATACAAAAAAGTGCCTCGAACGCATACAATTTATCGAGTGTTATTCTGAATTTTTTAATGACTACTACCGGAAGTCCAGTAAAGAACTTCTGCTATAAAATTGTCAATTTCAAATAGAACCATAGACAAATGTCTTTTATAAAAGACTTCCTTAAAATATCTTTATCTGTAGAAAAAAATAAAACCCTATATAATAATTTCTTTTTCTCTATTTCTTTTCTTGTAGGAATCGCGTGTTCCTCCAATACTACTTAAATAGACAGCTAAATTTTCACGTATAAGCTCGATTCACATAAAATTCAAAAGATATATTATAATATCTAACGTGGACATAAATTTTGAAACATTTATGCTATAGACTCTTTATTTCTTACTTATTATGCTGCAGACTGGCAGTTGAGACGGTATGGTCGAACGTTTTAAACATGTACGAAGTAAATGGACAACTTTGTTTCCAGTTGATAGGGTAAGCGTATCCTTGTTCATAATAATCCTACAATAAACAACATATAATTGCTTAAAATCATATATTTTCGCGAAATAAATGGTATTTCAAAACAGAAGTATTTATTGATTA